GGAATAAATTATTTTTTCTTAATAGCTTAAAAGTTAAAAATAAAAGTTGAAAAATTAAATCAGCTTATGTTTACATCATTATTTTATTAGCTTCGATGCAAAGCTGAGAAGGTATTATTTTTACTATGATGTGTTTTTTTTTTGTGTCTGTTACCACTTTTTCTCAGCTCTCACCAAACCGATATCTAGTCGAAGACATTACACTTTATATTACCCTCATACCTGTCTCTAAAAGCACCTGACTATTGGTCATTAATTCCTTTTATTGATGAAATAGACAATTGTGAATTTTTTAATTCTTATTTGAAGATATTTAGTTTAACACTTGATACTTAACTCATAATTCTAAAAAAATTGATTCTATTTGATATCATTGGGTAGAGAGTGGTAACCTTTAACTCCTATAATGGTTGCGTGTGAACGATTCGATCGTGTCCGCCGCCGTCAACCTTTGTCCATTTTACGCGAACAACCGTCATTTTTAACACGCTTATATTAGTTTCACTTGTATGTTGTGGAAAGTTTTACGGCTTTTTGTGAAAAAAAGCGTGGGTGCTTTATGCCATATTTTTTGTATATTGAGCGCCTGACGTTTTTTTTTTACTATAATACTAGTATTTTCCGTTCATTATTGTTATAAGTTAATTTTAAAAATTATTTTTAACTTTTTAGTTGGATGTGCTTTAAAAGCGTGTTTTTTAGTTTTTTTATTTAAATATTTTCCGACAATTCTTTACACAAATGTCATCACCTCTCTCACATATTAACACGTTAATCGTTCGATTAATACACCGCTTATAATTTTTGATTACTTTTACTACCAATACCTCAGTGAAGCCTTATCATCATTCGTTAGGTAAGACTTGAGTTTGGGTTGCGCTCATATTTGTGTTTTTCATCATTGATTCAGAAGTTTATGAAAATTTCCCCTTTCCCGTTTTCTCTTCCATTCCTTTTAATACAATCATCCTAAAACACAAGTAGCAAGCAATCTTCCATTTAATATTAAAGAGTTGCACATAACAATAACATCTTTAACATTATTCATTAAGAATACGTATAATATAACATTTTTTCAAAGTGATATACAGAGTGTCATTATGTTCTTATTAGAAGTAAGTTTTTAAGTTATATAATATAAAATTTTAAATTATATTTATGAATATATTTGTAATATTCAACACATTTTTTTTAATAAAAATTGTATTACCATCGGACTGATTTGGATATCAAGAGGATAATACACCCAAGTACTCTCACAGTATTTGTAAAACAGCCGCGCCGACGTGCGACCACTGTTCGGATCGCCCAGGAGAGGCTGACAACGTTCTGCACACCCTTTTCCGGTGCGAGGTGTGGGCCCAGGAGCAGGACTCTTTGGAGTGTCAAATAGGGTCCACGTTCCGAGTCTGGTCCATGGTGGACCTGATGTTGAGAAGTCGGGAGGCGTGGAGGCTCCTCCAGGCATTTGACGAATCCGTCTTGTTAAAGAAGGAGGAAGCGAAACGCCTGAGACAGAAGCAGCCACGCCGCCCGGCACAAGTGGACCTGCGGCGCTGGTTTAAGCCGGTTCCTTAGGTTCTTGTTCTTGTTTTGTGTTTTGTTTTTGTTTGTGAGTTACTTTGCCCACCCTCCCTAAGGGTTCCCCACTCTGAGATTCGGTTAACGGGAGGGGTCACACCATGTTGCGAATCAGCTCTTGATTAATTTCGGGCTGATTCACAACGTGGTGGTGTGAATTATTAAGACAGCCTGAGGTGATGCTTCATGGTAGCTCCAGAGCGGCCCACAATAATGCCCGTCGAAGAGGGAAAAAAAGGGTAATACACCGGCCGTCCTGTGCTTTTCCAAATTGCACATTAACAAAACCCGAGATGTCATATCGTTTATCGGCGACCGTCGACGTTGACATAAATACGAATCAAGTCCGGCGGCCGCTGATCAGTCTGTAATTAACAGTGTCGTATTTACACTCGTGTAAGTAAAATGCATAATATATGTTTTATTTACAATAGAGGCATGTTTTATTTTTCATTGATTATTATTATTATTAGATGAATGAGATCTTATCCGTAATAAAATAAAATTAGGCGATAAATTTTTCAACTTAACTTTGAAAATGTTTCGGAAATCTTTTAACCACACTATGTTTAGGTTTGGCCCATGACTTCACTGTGTTGACTTTTTAAAGCCCTATTGACTTTAATCTGTCAAATGATCCTTTCTATTTTTCTAATTACTTGGTATAACAAAAGATTCCCTCAAGTAACATAGTTTTTTTTTTTTACTTATATTTAGAAAAATTAATTTTTTTTATTGAAACTTATTATTTCATATATATACTTAAATTATGTATATATTATACAGTATAAATATAATTGTATAAATTTTTGTGACAGTTCCTCTAGTGAAACTGTCACCTGGGCAACTTTTTTTATTCTTTTATTTTATAAAAGCCGATAAAAAACTATTTTACCTAAGATACTCTATTGAAATTTCATTAGAATCAGTGTTTTTAAAAATAAGTTATAGGATTTATTCGATGGAGAAATTTTTTTTTAAATGGTAGTTTTTTAAAAAAGCGTAATTGAGAGATATTTGTCTAAATTTCAAAATTAAGGGTTTCTTTTCATTATTTAGTGACTCTAAGGTTGTTCACCGCTTTGGCTGTCTTAAAAAATTATACAAAAAAAAAGAGGAATAAAACTTTGCCAAACGGCTTGATATAAGTCAGCTGATAATTAATAAATAATTTCTGATTAACGTAAAATTACCAAAATAGATGAATAAAAAATCATTAACACAAATGTAGTCTGTTTATCTTAACGAATACAACTGTTTAATTAAATACAAAATCTGACTATAATAAATTTGATTTTTGTCAATAAATTGAATAATAAAAACTTAACTATACAAAGTAATAGTTAATAAATTGCATGAACTGTATCGTAACTTAAAACTTAATAAAATAAAGAGAGATGTGAGTAGGATAATTTTGAGGGTTACTTTTAATTCTGTGTGTCATTTGAGGGTTATAAAATAAAATAAATATGGACCGTTATTGATTTCTCAAATCTTACCTGATAATTTTTCTTGGTTTTTATGATATCTAAAGTAATGGTGTTATTAATAAATGACTGATAAATAAAATAACACAATTCGATTTAGTTCACAACTTAAATGGGTAAAAACTTTGACAATAATGATCACAATGTTCGCGTAACGTTGTCTAGAACACGATAAGAACAACCCAGAGAAAGGTTTGCTCTGCCTTTTCAAAATACTTTGTACCCCCCAAAAAAATCATTGTCTCATTCTTACAATATTACCGTTTATTGATATGTAAGCATAAAATATAGACATTGTTACAAATAAATAATATACAAATCATTTTGACATTTTATATAACATTAACATGGATTTCTATAATTAAGTTTAGGGTTAATACAATACGTTTAAGATTATATTTAAGATTAAGATTAAGATTAGAATAAAAAATATGACAAATATAATTTACAGATTTCTTCTCGAAAAGAGGTAAAATATTACTAAACGGTATGCGTTTGTTGACTATATTTCATACATTTTTACTTAAATGGTACTTAAATGGTATTTTGATTTAATATATATTCCTCATTCCTATTGATAAATTTGTTTTCAATATTTGCAACAGCTCCTTCTAAG